GGCCCAAGCTTCAAAGGTTTCTGATTATGGATTATGAATCTACATAAACATCTGCTAGAGGAAAGGGGATAAACTAATATGGTTCCAAAGACCCTATTTTCAGAAGCACTAATTGGAACATGTGGTCTATCAGTGAGAATAGTCGATATAGTGCTGTGTTAAGGACACATAGGACTAAATAGATGTGGTAACTGAGAATATGAAGGAAACCCTGCCAAGTTCTCCAGCCAAAGCCAGATTTTCCATTTGAGGCCTACTGCCCAGCCACTCACTGTCCCCTGTGATGTAGGCTGATGGAGCCAGAACAATAAGATCACCAACACTGTTGATGAAAGTTTTCTAAGCTCCTCGTTTTATGTTAAAAAAAAAAAAAATCTGATCACTTGAGAAACTCAAATTATAAATAAAGAATAAAATAAAAGAGAGATAATAGGAAGCAGGGAGATAGATCGTTCTCAAATGGAAAGGGGAGCAAGACATGAAGGGAAGAGGGAGGGGAGGGAAAGTGGATGAAAAAGGAATTAAGATGTGCTATGTACAAACACCAACTCCACACAAGGAATGTAAACATTTATGTACTACACACATATACTAATAAAAAAAAAAACCTGATCATTTGAGCTCTTTAATGCTTCTTCAGTGGTCATTTAATGTTCAGGGAAAAAAATTTAGTTTAAAAAGGAAAAAAAGACAGAAGGTAAATAAACCCTTGTGAAGCATTCTCAAACTTGACTACACATCAGAATCACTTGAGAAGCCTTCCAAATGATTGCCCTCTAAGCCCACTACAGCACCACTGAACAAGAAGCTCCTGAGCTGGTTTTGAGGGATGTGGAGTTTTCAAAGCAAAATTACCCCCAGGTAATTTTGATGTGTCAATTCCATTAAGAACTACTATTCAGAAAATTTTTTAAATTTTAAAGAGACAGAAAGAAAAAGACTTTTTCCCTATTTCTATATAAGGAATGAAAGTGCCTAAGATTCAGGAAAGCCCAAATAGACGTGATGCGTGCCCTTCATAGTTCTTGTTTTAATCACATGGACTAACCACAAAAACGGAGTTTCATTTCTACCAAAAAAAAACTATCAGTTTCTCTCTTTTACTTATTCTTTGCAATCATAGATTATCAAACAATTTTCAGCCAATAATTTCACCTTCTCCATTCCTGAGACCTGGAGGTACTCCACGTCTGTGTACCACTAAGGATTTAGGGAGTGTCTCCTATATATCAGAAGGAAAACCTACTTCCCAGAAATTCTCTCAAGTGTTGAATGAAATTTAGCAGAATCAGTGTCCTGAGCAGGAAGTCTAGTTCTTTTCTCTTTTTTCTGCTGGGATATCCACGTAATAAATTTCACATTCCTTATATATATGACTAAGCAACTTCTTCTCTTTTCCTCTGAATCACCTCCGTATGTTGTAAGCTAGTCTTCATCTGCTACTTGAAGGAAACTACCTGCCAAATAAAGCTCATATTCTTCATATGTTGTCCAATCAAACAAAATTTCCAAGTTATCCTTGCTTCTACTTTCATCATTTGAACTTTTTTTTTCTTTTTTGGTCTCTTTTTTTTTCCTTCAGGTCTCCTCCATTTGAGTTGTTATTGTTCTGAGAACATTCTGCCTTTGCTTCATAGCACTCACTACATTTTAATTAAATGCTTATCTGTGCTTATTTATTTGATGTCTATTTTCCTACTACATGATAAAATATTTAAGATCAAAGTCTGCTTTTTGTTGACACTTAGTTTTGGTTGAGTTTTTTTGGTTTTTGTTGTTTAGTTTTTGGTGGATCTCCTTGCGAGGAAAGGAGGCCTTTGCTTTTTTAATTACTATCCATCCAGCTAGCACAAAACTCTGACACCTATTAGATGGTAAATACATATCTATTTACTCAAATATTAAATATTCCAGAGATTCTAGTAGGCTGGGACCACTGGATTTGTTCATCAGAAGATCACTGGAGACTATGAAAAAATGGTGAAAGTAGAGATGGCTGAAAAGCAAAAGGCAGAGAAGAGGTATAGTGTACTGATCTTTACACAGCATGGCTTGAAATTATAATGGTAAAAACAAAAGTGCATGACTCTGACCAGTGAGTCATGCCAATCATGCACATTTATTTCAGAGTTGTGCATATCAACTTTATGTAATTGTGATTCAGAATAAATACCTTGGAGGTGCTTTATTTGGTATGGAAAATGCTCATTGCACCCTGTGTTGTTGGCATTTATTTAAATGTCAGTAAAACTCTCTCCCACAGATATTAAATTTTATAATTAATCATTCATGAAGCCTTCTTTAATCAACTTTTCCTTAAGTATTTCAAATGTTTGTCAGGTCCATTCATTTCCCCTGTGTTGAGCTAAGAATTGGTTTTAGGTAATAAATTGACTATGTTCTTCCAGGGCACATTATCCTTAAGAGTTTGAAAACATTTGTATACATTAATCTAGGTTATCATGCAGTGAATCCCAAGCCACAGTAAACAGGGAATAATGAGTAGCATCTCTCAATCTTAATGGCAAGGAATGCCAAACATTCTCAAGCCCCTTGCATTTTTCTGACAAGTAAAATAAATTGATCCACACATTCAATGAGTCAGTCAATCAACACTTGTATGAGCTCCAACCATAAGTTACATCTGATAATGAAATGACACGTATCATACTGTGTCCATTTTCACAGAGTTTATAGTCCAAGTGGACAGGCAGACTTGAAAGCAAATAGCAACAAAAAGATTCAGCAGCTATGACAGAGACAAGTATAAAAAGCAGAAGGAAATGCTGGAGTTAGGGGCAATACGGGTGTGAGAATGACTTCCTGACTAGAGCTTTATCTTTGAAGGAAGGCTGGAGCAGGTTGAACAGGGAGAAAAGATGGTCCAGGCGTGATGAAGAAACAGACCAAAGGGTCCCCTTTACTATAATACAGTACCTGCGATAATTAACTTACCAAGGAGAGAAGTTTATTTTGATTTGCAGCTTTGGGGTATCAATCCATGCTCAGTTTGGCCCCATGTTTTTGGTCCTGTGGTGAGCTCTCACATTGTGTGTCATACAGCAAAGCAGTTCACTCCTTGGTCATGCAAAAGAAAAGAGGAAGAGGCTGAAGTCCCACTATCCTTTTCATGGGCATACCCACAAATGATCCTAAAGTAGGGTTACTAGGTCTTACCTCTTAAAGTTTCCTTTACCTCACAATAGTTCCAAAACGGGCACAAAGCTGACCCAAACTCTAGGACTGACTCAGAAGCATGAAACACCAGGCCACCTTGGACATGCTAGTTATTAGGCACCTGTGGGCCACTAGGCGTGGAAGGGGCTTAGGGAAACTTGAGAGTTAAGTGGGGATCAGGTCACACGGGGTTTTGTGTGCCATGCTGAAACTTAGTTTATATTCTCTTGCACCTTGGAGGCTCTGAAGTATCTTAAGGGGGGAGTGACTTGGTAAAATGTATGTTTTAGACAGATTGCTCTGGCAGTTATTTAGTTTGGATAGAAAGTTTGAGCCTGGAGATATTTTATTCATTTATTCAAACATTTTTAAGTGTCATGTAAGTGTGAGACACTGTTTTAAATTCTAGCAATCAAGCTATGAACTGAAGACATGCTCTCAAAACAAGTTCTTGAAGAGGCAGATAGATGCTAACCAGATAAGTGAATAGATAAACAAGAGAATAAATGAACAGGAAAAACAGATAATAATATTAATTACTGTACAAAAATTCAAATAAGCTGATGTAAAAGTTGGTGTCCAGGGTCTACCTTAAACTGCACAGCTAATAGGATCTCTCTGAGCAGAATCTTAATGACAAGAACAAAATTTTTTAAAATCTACCTTTGAGTGGAATTACAGATAAAATTGAAAGAAATGTCTGGCTTCCAGTAAAAAAAAAAGTGAGAGAATTAAATCTTGTAGCTTTTAGTGTTTAAAGATTTCCACTTATTAATTCATTTAAATTAAAAGGTAGCTAGTATTTGAAAGTTCTAACTGGTTCACACCTAAGCTGACATTTGTTCTTTTAAAAATTTTAACTTCATCTCCCTAATGAGTATATAATTCAATCTTGTTATTGCACTGATTAGTATTTTTCTGATTCTAGTGTTGCACACCTTTCCTTGTGCTGTACTGGCTATTTATCATCTTCCTGTGTCTACTTTTTAATTGGGTTGTCTATTAATGAGCTGTAAGTGTTCTTTATATATTCTGCTCATAGGTGATATGCATTATAAACATGGTCTGTTTAAGGACTACTTTTCATTTCCTTAACCATGTCATTTGAAGTTCTAAATTTTCATGAAATCTCATTTATCAGTTTTTTTCTTTTGTACATCATGTTTTTTATATCCTAAGAAATTC